CCACTCAAAGATGTGCAGTTCTTGTTCAAACCATCGTGTAATAAGATGTGTCAACTTCTAGACCACAGAGTATTATAAAACTAGTAAAGCATACATAAATATCCTACAGTATAGGGCGGTCCAGATGTCTTGTGAACCCCAATTTATTGACTCCTAACATGTTCATCATAGAGGTTCTTTGGGTGAACATGTTGTTTCCGTTTTATGTTCGTTTATGTTATAAATAAACCTTACTTTTAAAAAGATTCAATTTTAGGTAATTAAACGGGGGGGGGGGGGGGGGGGGGGGGGGTCACAAGACATCCTGTACTGTAGTTCTTTAAACGAGCACGTGTTTTTCCACAGCTCCAGAACCAATTGGCCAGGGCCCCCTAGTGGCACTGATAGCAATTCTCTGGGTCGTAGTGGCAGTGTGGAACTGGCCATAAACTTTCACTCTGGGAATTTTGAAGCCTTGGATACTCAATTTTGTGCCATTAGGCTGCTGGCATTTTTAAACGTCTTTCGAATTTTTTTCGCCGTATACTGCAGTTCTGAGCATTGTAACGTAAATAAAAAAAGGCTGCTTTAAACCCCACTCTAAAATGTAAACAGCCGCCAACCATCTCGGGCAATGAATGTACTTTAATTAGTGCACAGTCAATATGTGATGGAATAACTTGATGTTTGGCTTCCAGGAGAGTACACCACTCGACACATTGTAATTGAGTTGTAAGCAACATGGGATCAGGAAAGTGCACAATGCAGCGTTGTTGTACCACCGTAATTCTTCGTACTTTACTGGGTTATAACGAATTGATTTAAATATCTCTTTAGGTAGCAAGCTGTGAATTCATGTTGTTCCATTGCATAAACATATTGCACAGTATTACAAATGTAACAAGCAATATTGTCTGTATTTTGCATTAGATAGCACTGCATGCCTAATTCATATTTTAATATGCACATGACATACATTTCTGACAATAACGTGTTGCTCCACGTGAGAATTCCTGTGATCTTGGATGGATGGTGTCTTAGGGCGCACACACCTTCAAAGCAGTGTGTAGGTGGTGACAGACTATTTTTGTTTATCTAAATAGAGCTATGGCAACATGGCCCGGGCCAATGGTATGAACAAGAATGGAAAATGCACGGAAGCGTTGACATCATGGTCCTACAATGTCTTATAATTTTTGTCCTGAAGAGTCACTTGGGATATTTAAATTCGAGGTTACGTGTGAAATGTTTTACCTCGTCTCTAATGCCTGCATTTAAAAAAAAAATTAAGAAAATGTAATAACCACCATTCTGTTGAAATGGTATTGGTTCTTCCACAGATGTCTGTTGGATATGGCTACATGCTGTATGACGTAATATTCATCGTGATGTATTTGGCGATCACATGGTTAGATTGCAAGTCGTGACATATTTTGTCTGGGCGACATTATAATCCTCCTTTGCTGGGTCTTTACCGACGAAGCCAGTCGTCGTTTACTCTGCACATTAACACATCCCTTAGGTGTCTCATACCTTTGTCCCTGTGAATCACTTAGCTTATATGGTAACTGTGAACGTTTTAAATCTGTCGCTTGAAACGAACATTTGTGACATATACTATAATAAAAAGACAGGTTGATTTGTTTTCCCAATGCTCAATTTATGCAATATTTGAGTACGTAGGATAAATAACATAAAAACATGGTATATAACAATAACTCATTTGGTATATTATCTGCTACACAATCTGGATTTATATGGTTTTATAAACGGGTGTCTCTAGAAATTGGGAGTTATGATTCTACCCCCTGGTGATTATTTTTTAAATCAATAATATATTTATTTTTTACGAACTCATTAATCGATGACTGTATGCAACGCGACAGTTCTTCTTTGAATGCAGCACACACTTGACTGCAGTAGTGCAGTGTATATAACAGTGCAATAAAGTACACTAATGATTTACAGCCCATCGTGAATCCATTGCTGGATGAAGGCCTCACTCCGTTTCAACTGTGTGGATTGTTTGACCATACTGCACCAAGCTGGCCTGTGTGGGTTGGTGAAGAAGGAGCCAGGACCAATTCAGATACTGTATCTGTCACTGATGTTAAACCGTGGCCAGGAATAGAACTCAAGCCACCGGGTTCACCCAATATAGAATTCATCATCATCAGCAAACACGATCTATCCATTGCTGTATGATGCCACGCTATCACCATCTCTCACGGTCTCACCATGCAACACATACATCTGGCTCCTGTGCGTTCGCTTATTTAATTGCTCCATGTCTGCGGTAGGATGACCTGGAGCGTGCTCTCTCCTTTGGCTGGCAATCCACCATTAAGTCTCAATCCACCCTGTAATGCCACACAAAATCTAAGCCCGCACCTTGTATCACACAACCTTAACGCTTATTGACTGATACATTTTCTATTCTGTGCTATGCCCAGTAAAATTCCATGTTTGTCCTCTTAAGAGCAGTGATATACCACGGATAAGGGAATAACTTCTTACGCATGGTGATATGGGGGACCAATGTTGTGAACCCTACTATCCGTGGGACTATTCTTTGCTTTACTCCACTTATCAGGAAAGTGAGTCTAATCGTGACTTAAATGAATTTGCTGTTCAACTCCTCGTCTGAAATTTTTTTCCAGATAAATACTATGCCATTTCATAAATAACTACTTTGTGGGGGTAAAACGCTGATAATTGTAAGAATAGGGTCGCCGAGTTTCCGGTGAGAGTGTTGGTGAGAAACTTGGTGTAAATAGTTTGAATTAATGGGTAAAGGCTTCAGCTAAAAGATGGAAAGAGTGTTTGTGTGCCAGGGGTATGGTGAAGGTGGAGGTATCTGCTTGGATAAACGGCTGGTCGTAACGTAGGCAGGCTGAACAGCCAATGTCGCAGCATGAGTCATGTTCAAAGCAGTGAGCCATGACTTCAGTGAGTAGCAATGTGTGGGTGTAATGATTAATAAAAGGGCTTATAGTCAGCGCTGTCACAGGTGGTGTCATGTTTAATATAAATAATAGGGTTACATTCAATGTGCACTCCGGACGTGTGATAGCAAGTAATGGAGACATTAGACCCTTGTACAAAAAAACACCCGAATGTTTATTAAAATAAATGCGGTAGTGCATCATTAAAACATAAACAGTGTAACAAAGCAGTGATATGAAATAACTTAAATGGGTTAAGTGTGGAATTTGTGTTACATGGATAACCGCGATGAATGGTAATTTCACAATCATTGCAATGATACGACCATTATGAAGGCAACCTTAACCTGCACTTTTAAAACAAAGCTTTTAAGAAGCTACCTCTAAAGTAATTACTTTTGCCGATTGAACCATTTGTAACAGGCAGGGTGACTCGTATTCTCTTTAATGTTTGAGACTGTATTATTATTCAGTGCCAACTGACACCAATGCGGTGGAGGGGCGGTAAGTCGCGAGGCTTGTGACTGACCAATTGACATTTTGACACCTAAGTTAATCGTCTCATGCTGTTTATGGCCAACGTAGCGATGGCTTGGTGTAATTGGACCCTCGATTAATGTAATCGAGGGCGGGCCATGGACAGATCGAGCTTGTAATAGTGTAGGTGACAGTAAGTACAGTACGGTAGACTGTGTAGGACTGCAGTGTGATTGTATCACTCCCACTGTGAAGTACACTGATGCCCCCTGCTGTACCTTGTTGAAACAATAATGCAATGACCATTGTACAGGGTGGTCCAGATGTCTTGTAACTCCCCCCCCCCCCCACCATTTAATTGTATAAAACATTATATTTTTAAAGTAAGGTTAATTTAAAACAGAAATGAATATTCAAAGGGAACACACACATTTGGAGTCAATTAATTGTGGGGCCACAAGACATCTGGACCACCCTGTAGTATACTGTTCCAGGAATGATTGTATCCTCATTTAAATTCGTGGATGGATGCATTTACAGGACTGTGCTATGAATAACAGAATAATAATTGCATGCCCTTTGTTTTGTAAGCGTTTAGGACTTGTGATGTAACGATTGTAAGTGCTGTAACCTCCACTTTGCGTGCTGCCTCACTTTTTGTTTCCATTTTCTTGGTCACATCCGTGGTCATGATTCATCGTCATGCGGATAATATATGTTGCTGATTGAAAACTTTCTGCAGTCGCATTAGTGTTGTGCTTTTTAATGATCGAATTAAGTTTTCCAAAAATGTTCCGTTATCATACTTTCTTTGATTGATGCACGTTTAAAAAGAAAGTCAATTTAAAAAAATAAACACAAGTAATGCTCTCCTATGCTTTTGTCTACAGCGCATTATCCTCTCGCTGTCACCACCATAGTCTAAGAGAAAAGCCTGGGACGCAATTGACTAATTGGCACTGTGTTGATATTGTACCAACATGTGTTGACTTGTTGATACAATACACATTTAAGGGGCTGGATTTAACATAATCTGTTATGTTTTCAGTCAAAATTATCTTACTTATTGAATTACATGTTTGATATTGTCTGTCTTGTGTTTGCCTAGAATTAACTTTGTCCTCTGGCAAGTGTCATTTCATTTGCATCCAATCCACCTTGCGTTATATTTGCAAGGGCAAATACGTACGACATTTTTGTGGTTTATCCGTGAGAATTCAAATTAAATTCTAATATCAAGGGACCTCCTTTTTCAGTACCAAAATATGAGAATAGGGTTTCCCCTTTTTTCTGGCAACACGTGTTGAGATGTTAAAACACCAAACAGAAACCTTTGACAAGGAATCATGTCTATATTAACCACAATACTTGTGGTCAGAATGCAAACAAAAAACGTACTCTGATAGTGGCATTGTCCTTGAAACTGATTGGTCCACACCAGAGACAGCTTTCTTTTGGGCCTCGTCTCAAAACGGTGTTAGACCAGAGGACGCCAAAAGGCATTTCAAGGACAATGCCACTATCAGAGTCTGTTTTTTGTTTGCATTCTGACCACAAGTATTGTGGTTAATGCAGACATGATTCCTTGTAAAAGGTTTCAGTTTGGTGTTTTAACATCTTAACACCTGTTTTGTTGCCAGAAAATTAAGGGGAAAACCTATTCTCAATTATAATTACATTTTTTCATCCTCCTTGCCAATTTTATAGATTTAGGTGTTCAATATCTTTGTGGTTGTTGTATTAGCTGTACAGGATACTCTCATTATATTCTCAAATACCAAATGTATTCCTCATCCTTATATATTCCCTTTTTTGTAGTGTGCTTTGCCCCTAAATTAAACGTTGTTTTCATCCTTTGTAAGGTTGGCCTATTTATACATCTTCATTGCTTGTTTTTTTGGGGCATATAATGGAAGTATCTTTAGCTTGTCGTGGCTCGAGAGCTTTCATGTTTTCTGGGGAAATTTGTATCTGACGGTACCTTTCAAATAAAAATGCTGTTTAATTTCCAGAGCCACTGAGAATTCCCACTCCTCTTTTTTCCCCTCCCCAAATACTACAAGGTACTGTACTGTCATTTGCAACTGAACAAAGTTCGAATATAATATAACTTGAGAGGGGGAAAACAAAAACATCCCATTGGCTATAATGACGAAGAATTTTCTGAGCTACCAAGTGGCAACATTGTCCACGTGAATATAAATTAATCTTGACAAGAATGATATTTCATTGTGCACAAATTAATCTTCAGTTAATCACTGCAAACATCGCACAATCGTCTCTTGATTAATACATATATGTGTAAGCTCATGGAATTTTAATTTAAAATGTCCATTATAAGGAAAACCTCGCAGCACTTCCATTTATTAGCACACGAAAGGAACATGAAAAAAACCGAATTAAAGTACAATTATTATGGTAACATTTCACAATAAAACAGTATCGCATTACCAAATCATTTTTTTCAATTTAAAATAATTAAAATATATATGCACATTGCAACAGTACTTAATGTGTAATACAATGCGGGATTTGAATATAGAAAATTGGCAGCTAATTCGATGACTTTTTTAACAAGGCTATAATGTGGAGAAGTTAATTATAAATTATATTATAAAGGCGTACAATTGAGATACATTTTCTCATGACCAAAATCACTCAGAACGTACCCAATTTTGTCAGATCTTGGAAGCTAAGCAGGTGAATGGGCCTGGATAGCGATAGGGATGGGTCATCATCATGTTCACCGGGTTGTTACCTGCTGTGGGGCTATATGCTGAGCAGTAGAGGGCAGTAGAGTACAATTTATTGTGGTCTCGAGCCTGATTTTTATGCCCTCCATGCTTCTTGTCTTCACCAGCGTGACGTATGATTAGTATTGCATAAAAAATCGTGAATTTTCTTATCGATCGGAATGTACAATACACAAGTTACAATCTAGTATTATTTATACATGTCTTCAGATTCTATATTTTTGGTGTTTTGATATCCTGCTCAAATGAGCGCTAATCTCCCGTTTACAGCCCTGAAACAGTGGTGCACATTACACATTTCTATGGCAGGCACAAGTTTACTATACCGTATTCAAGTACAATTACATTACCTATATATCCAGTGCAGTTGAAACATGAAGCATCTGATGTCATATATCTACAAAATGTTTGAAAATCTTAAATTCGTTATTTCAAATGAATTGTAAAATTATTTGGATAGACAATCTGGTTAATTGAAATGGAAAAAAAACCAGGCTATCACCGATAAATTATTGTTAATGTACATAAATAATAGAAAACATCGATTTTATTTCTACCAATCTTAATATTATTGTGCTCCTTTAGAGATTGTATTTATGTTTTTCACACTTTTTCACACATGTACTGACATGCATTGACAGTTGTTTCATATGATGCAGACTCAGGAACAAGCTGCACCTTTTAAATAAATTGCACGACGCAAGAGGTCGTGCGACCACTGAACTGGCATCACTGCAATCCTGAGTTTGATTCATGATAATACCAGCTTCTCAAGTGTGCCCTGTAGATGGTCTCTAGTCAGCAATGACTGCACACAAAAATCCAGTCACGTAAAAAAATATTGTTACGTAATTTAAATAAATGGCAGTTCTGGTTATTAAAAAATATCAGATCGACCGCCACACGGAGGACTTGTCCAGGAATATCCCCCCCCCCCCTAATGTGGATGAAAAAAGGTTATTTGAAGTAATCTCGGAGGTAGTTTTGTCATATGTACTTCCTTAGGCTGTTCTTTAACATACGCACTGCTCTCTGAGAGTTTCTTATGGATTTTCCATCTCATGCCATGACACTGATAGCACAATTAGAAAACTATTTTGAAAAAAATCACGTGAACAAAATGCATACTGCAGAAATCATGTTTCACTCTTGTTTTTATCCAGATGTGATTGTTTTGCCACTGATACTTATGTTTATTTGAGCAGTATGTGTCACTTAAACTGCAATTTGAAACTCTTTCATGAAATAACTTATGCATAGAACCCCCAGAAGAACACAGCAATTGCCATGATTATGATTGCATTGACATTGTTAAAGTTTCTCCATAAGAGGTTTTTCAGAGATATCTGTGCGCAGTTTTTCTTGGGCCTCCATTTGCTCCTTGGTGAGCTCTTCCTGGGGGGCAGAGCCAAGCCACAGAACCACATGCCGCCTTTCTCAGGCAGCCAACACAACCTCCTGAAAAGGCACATTCTGGTTTTAATAACACAACGACACCACACTCGGTTATCACATTATCATAGATTATAGTGGTGTTTGGATTGCAAACCATCTGCATTTTTACGACCTCAAATTATCACGGATGGCCCCGATATTGTCAGTTCTCTTCTCAGATCTCGGAAGCTAAACGTGGTTGAGTCTGGTGAGTATTTAGATGAGATGCCTGCGAATATAACTTCTTGACTTGTGTTGGGTTACGTGAAAGTTATGTGTTACCCCTTTTGCGTGGGAATGTCTCGGGGTGCTCCGGTGTTCTACCACATGAAAGCCGACAAAAACTCACAAAACGAAATGACCAAATATGCCACTGCAAGACCTTCCTGGAAAAAAGGGTGGCAACTCAGGCTTTGTATGAGAAAAGGGCTAGTGTCAGCATTCACTCCTGGATGCACCTGTTCTGGTTTTTACCTGGTGGTGTTTTGTTTTCCTCAAGTTCCTCTGCTTTCTTTGCCTCCAGTTTCTCCTTCAGTCTTCCGCGCATTTATTTCCTTTTCTTCTGCATCCAAATCTTCACGCTTCTCCTTGCTGTGGCGGAGACTCCACACCAACCTATGAAGCTGTAGGGTGGCACATGAGGATAGGGATTTGCGTTTGTAGGTCACTAAAATGCCCCCAGAACTCAAAGTGCCTTAAATCACACCTCAGATCAACTCTTCCTGCTATTGTATAGCCAAGAGGACCAACTGGTGGCAGCTGTTCATTTTATATAAAACATTTTGAATGCCTTTTGTTTTTTTCCCATTGCACTATCAGCATCATGCATTGATATGTAATATCCATTTGGATCTCTTGTAGGGCGATGCAACGCTGTTCTCGTAGAGAACAGCCCACGGAAGCGGATATTACAGAGGCTACTACCGAGATCCTTGCAAGCGATCTGTGGTCCACAGAGTCAGGGCCGGATTAAGGCCTCCAGAGATGAAGTGAAAAGTTTTTTCATTTGTGAATGCTGAATTTTATTTGTTGTTAGCCTTGTAAAAATAAATTTTATTTTTCTTTAACTTTGTTTTCCTTTTGAAAATATTACTGGGGGCTTCACAGTACCTGTAGCCCAGGGGCCTACAAAATCTTAATCTGGCCCTGCACACTGTAGAGAGCAGAACTTTCCCACCCGCCCTGCGACAAACAGTAATGTTTGTCACATTACAGTAAAACCGATATTTTAATGCTCAGAGCTGCGATTTTGCCCAAATTAAGTTCAGAACCAAATTGTATGTGATAGTGTTTTGTGCAGCCATTAGTCATAAAACTGAGACCATCAAATCGAAACACTTGAGATTTTGGCTTCATTACGGGCAGCTGCGTGGATTCAAACTCAGTATCTTATCGGTGGTAGCTCAGAGGTTTGACCTCTGGATCACCTGGCCACCTCAGAAACCCTGCGTGCGTTCTGACGGGGGGGGGGGGGTTGATTCTTTCCATAGGTCAACCACTCTTGACTTGCCCACGAAGCCAATACTGATCCCAGAGGGCTGGAGAGTTAAACCAAACTCCGACTAGGATTTTAACTCACAACCTTCCAATATGTCAGAATATAACCCGCAACCAATGCATTTTGCTGCATGTTACCCAGATTTAAATTGCTCAAAAGACCTTGTATTTGCATTCATATTTAATTTGCTTCTTATAAGTGAACTTAAGGTAAAAAAAAGGCGCAGTCCTGCAATTTCTTGCTCACACTACTGCTGACTGAAGGGCCTGCAATAGAAGCAGCCCTAGAAAGCTCTTCGAGTGTGTCTTTGGCCTACTCTTCCATGCTGACCAGATGTCTTGAAAGAGGTATCAGTACCCATACTTTACCCCACCACATTTGACTTGCCTATCGGTTAACTGCAGGGCACCCATTTATACTTCTGCGTCGACATGAACGAGGCGATTTGATAAACTTGCTCCATTGTTTCAACTGCCACGATGGGAGATCGAAACCAGCAAACCGTTAGACAACATCGGCACCCCAAGTATCTGTATCGTGTTGTGTGCATATATGTTTGCAGTGGTACTTACGTGTTTATCGTCAATGGGTTTTGTGAAAAGTGAGATGACCACAACGAGGACGCAGGTGATGGTAAAGAGGATAATTGCAAAGTAGAGGTAATGCACACCACAGATGATAGTGGGGCAGTTGGTTTATTTTTGCAAGATCCTGTGCCGTAAGCAACTCAGTAATCAAGCGGGACATGCCAATCAGAAAGCCCAAAAATGAGGCCCCAGAAGGCTCCTGCAACGTGCATAACACAGACACCTTGAAGAGAAACTCGTGAATATGATTGTATGCACACAGCGTAAAACATTCAGCGTATATATACTGCACAATCTTCGATGCAGCAAGATTTTTTTGTGGTCGCTTGGGTTCCGTGCAACTTAGTCGCTGTTTTTGTATTGTTTCAGTAATTGATTACCCAACCATTCATGAGTCCGATTTCTCGAACCTTGGGTAAAATTAAATAGTTCCGGGGGAAAAAAAAAGTGTCACTTCTGTTTCCACATGTGCCCGCTGGATGGGAGGTGATGGCTTGGCTTGGTGAGATCACCAGCATCGTCAGGAGTCTTAGACTCTTGGATAAAATAAAAAATAGTTCCAGGGAAAAAAAGTGTCACTTCTGTTTCCACGTGTGCCGCTGGATGGGAGGTGATGGGCTTCGCTTGGTGAGATCACCAGCATCGTCAGAAGTGTTAGACTCTCGGGATACAATAAAAATAGTTCCAGGGAAAAAAAAGTGTCACTTCTGTTTCCACGTGTGCCGCTGGATGGGAGGTGATGGGCTTCACTTGGTGACATCACCAGCCATCGTTGGAGTGTTATTACACTGGGTCTGGCTTGTGGTGCAACGGCCATGAATACATGGGCCTAAGTGATCACCACAGAAAATGGTTGATTTTCAATATACTTAATCGAAAAAATCGTCCCAGCTCTAGAATTATGTAATACAGTAATTAGGCAATGAGTAAATGAAAATAATTAACTTTCAACAATGCAAATCCTAAATCTTCTCTTTGCGCATGTGCCAGGCGGATTGTTACCTCGCAGGAATTGTGAGAGGTGGTACCAGATTGGGGAGGCCTTCATCAGCAGTGGATTGATCATGGCAGACTACGGCACGAGAGGACCCTTACCTCCTCATGGACACGCTTGACAAAGATGGCAAGCAGGAAGACGGCTGCGATGGGGGGCCCCAGGTAGCTGGTGATGGACTGAATGTAGTCAAAGAGTTGCCCACTCTGAGCACCCTCAATGATGGGAATCCAGGCTATGCTGATCCCAATGAGCACCAGGATGAACACCCTGCGAATGCGCACCACACACACACATCCAGCCGTGCGAATGAAATTCGCGGACTTTGATAACATCGCCTATACCCCACCGCAATGACTTAACCTCTGGCAACATTCACGTATATCCGTGTCTATCTCAAGCTGGATGTGGACTATGGTTTCCTGATAAAACACTCCACACCCACCCATAATACACGACTGTTTATGTAAACATTGTATACTGTGTATTAGTACTTATCCACTGATAAACAGACGAAATCACCTCAGATACACTTTTCTTCATCACGGAAAGCTAAGCATCGTTGAGTCCACATAGCGCCATGAATAAACAGGTGTTATAGGCTGCTGCTGCTGGGCTACATATGATGTGCGGTACTATCCTTCCACACCACCATGCCTATGGTGGCCATCTTTACCAACACACGGTGACCAGTGCGGTGAAGTATGACCGAATAACACACCACGACCCGCACGGCATAGGGAGTACCCTCGGAAAGCAGGGGATTGACACAAAGGGATATGCATGCACTTTGGTGACGTGCAATGTGCAAGCAACACAGGCGAACTCGTGCATATGCAATTGATGATGTTCGCAATAGTGCATGGCGAACGCTTGAGAGAGATTTGCTCAACACGTGGTCGAACCTAAATGAGCACACTTGGATGGCGAGTGGCTGCATAAACCCATGTGCATTGCTTACATACATAAGTACCATTATTGTTGTTTGGTTGCCTAATACGACGTACTGGAATGTAAGACCCAGGCAAACTTTGCCTATCGATTAAGTTACGCGAATCTGGTCAAAGAACAACAGCCACCATTCACTACTAAGTGGCGGTGACGTCACATGGAGCTTGTGCCAGGCTAGGTGCACTCTGAGGCCACGTGAAGTGTGGACATACCCGTCAACCCATACAGTTTACCCATATTCTTGTACAGGCAAATTGAGTTTTCAGGTCCATACGGCGTACAGCCGTTTAAATACGGGCAAAACAAATGTCTTTATTTGTGTTTCTCCCTTGTGATAGGACTTTGTAGGATGAACGTTGAGATTTATAAGGGCAAGTGGTAATCAATAAGGTCCGTATTGGTCTGTAATAAGGTAGGCACTGTTTAAGGGGTTAACAAGTATGAGTGTTAAAGGCTCGCTGACAGGAGGTCACAAAACAGACCCAGGTGCCATGGGTTGGCTTGTCTGAGATGACTGGCAGAGGCAACACCCGTGCTCCCTACTGTGCCACACACATGCAGACTAACTGGATTAAATAAAAAAAACAACCCCAGCTCTTGCTTTAAATTACAGGTCATCAAACGCGTCGTATAATCCGCAGAATACAGTGACGATTGCCTTGGAGATGCACACTGGCCATACGCACCTGCCAGCAAGCATGAGTTCACGCTCGGTGGCACTTGTGCGGATTTTGTTGTAGATGTCCAGGGTGAAGAGTGTGCTGGCGCTGTTGAAGATGGAGGTGAGGGAGCTCATGAGGGAGGCCAACATTACGGACAGCATCAAGCCTCGTAAGCCTGCATGATCCACAGCACCACACAAGACACAATCAGTGGAAAGAGGTGGAATCACACAACAAACAACACGGTCGTAGAAAATGTCAACAACACGGTCGTAGAAAATGGAAACAACACGCTCTTGCCGTGTATTGTAGCAATTGAGCTGTGGTGATTGAATTGGTTCATAGGGACACCACGTATTTTTATGACCAAACTGCCCAGAATTACAAACTAACTTCCCTCTCCTCGACCAGCGTGGTGAAATATGGTCAAATAATCCTCACCACCCGCACGGTGTGGGGAGGCCCTCATCCAGATTGGATTAACAGGCAGGTGATTTAAAATCAAATAAAAATCGCTCGTGATATTCCCCAGGGGTGTGTATGTGTGTGTGATGCCTTACCATTTGGCATGAGGTTGATGACAAGCAGTGGGTAGGCAATGTTGGTACAGCCCACGTCCGTGTCACAGTACTCCTTACATTTCTCAGGCTCCACACATGCCACAACATCTAAGAGATCACCGAAGAGCAACACAATACACACAGTTGTGTCTTACGTGCTCAAATACCTCAAAACGCGTCTAATTCATACGCTTAATTAAGAGCAGCTAAATTAATGTTAACAAAGCTGATCGAGCACCGTATATGTATAGCAAAGGGTACACAATGTAGGTGCAGTAATTCTACAGCACTATTTTCTTTTCTTATTGAAATCCCCAATACGCACTATGTTAATTGAAGCAGCAACTGTATATCTCAAATGTTTTAATATCATGTGATCAGACGCGAAGTTGCAGTGACAGAAACATGTTGACAGCATGATAATCCAATATCGAATAGCATCAATAATCATATTACAATACCGTATTCCCAAATTATTTATCGGCAGTTTATATAACCCAAGACATGAATTGCGTACCGTAGTATTGATAAATGCGTACATAGTGCAATGGGTAGCACACTGGGTGTGCGATCCAGAGGTCGCTGGTTGAATCCCTAGGCATTGGAGTTCAAATAATGGTGGAAGTTTCTGAGACCTCCCTCCTCTATCCACCCAGCAGTATAAATGGGTAAACCGCAGTCAATGGGCAGGTCACGTGTCGTGAGGTAAAGTGTGGGTACTGCCACCTCGTCCAATATATCTGGCCAACATGGGAAAGTAAGCCAAAATAGTGGAGGCCCTCCTGCCAAGAGTGGTGTGAGCAAGTACTTGCAGGCCTGTAACTTTACCTTAGATACAACATTGTATTTTAATAATGTTTTGAATAATTGTATGGCACTGTATAATGATTGGTATGGCTTTTTTTTGTTTCACCTGTGTACAAAATGCGGCTGATCATGCCTGGCATGACCATGAGGTACATGGGCAGCAGCTTGAGGTAACCACACATGATGCAGCCACCCTTTACGTGGGACATATCCTTGGCAGACAGGCAGCGCTGTACAATCACCTGGAGATGAGGTAAAACAATAAAAACACTGTTCCTACTGCGTTGGCAGTGGTGCAACAAAGACATAATAAAAAAAACTCAAAACACATTCGTTAATAACGCCTGCCATAAACAGGGAAGATAAAATAAAATAGGCAACGTCTTGGGCAAAGGACTTTCTTCATAGCAGAGCAATGGTCTTAATAGCAGATAGAGAAGGTCTCTCTCTGCTATTATTCTTTGGCTCTTTCGGTAAAGTCACATAGTCAACCGCCACTTTTTACAATTTTTTCTTGCTGTGGTTTTCACAACTGATGATGATTTATTGCGTTGCAATCGAAACGTCGTGATAATTGTATTGTTTTATTTGTATTATTTTATTATTTCCCTTCTACGTGACTTTACCGAAAGAACCAAGAATATTAATCCCTGCAGTCACGAAAGCTTTAAATCGAAATTTCACGTAGATAGGTTAAAAGAAAATAACAAAAATAATAATAAAAATCCACGACGTTTCGATTGCAACGCAAGATTGGCGGACGACCTCCATGACGAGCGCGTGGAGGTGGCTATGTTAATGTGAGATCTGCCATTAACATGCTAATTTCTCACATTAACATCAATAGCCCCGCCCACTTCGTTTATGACCCTTGGGCTCCACCCATTTCAAACCTTCAAAACAGTCTGCGTCAGCAGCTTTCCTCTCTTTTTCTCCTCCTGATGACGACCGCGTGCGTTGCGATCGAAACGTCGTAGTTTTTTGTTATTTTCTTTGAACCTATCTACGTGACTTTACCGAAAGATCCAAGGAATATGAATTCCCGCAGTCACGAAAGCTTTAAGTCAAGATTCTCTCTCTGCTGTCAGCTAAAAACTAGACACCACACAACCCTAACCACTTGGGAATTTATTTTCGTAATAATTTTCAAAACCAGTGAAGTCAAGTGCACATGTTTTGTTTTTATATAGGGACATTAAGTCTTGCAAAGGGAGAAGTGTTTTATAAATTATATGTATAATCTTGGAAGTGGTTGGGATTTGGCCTCAGCAGATGAATCGCAGTGGTTTGAATGCTTTTTGAAATTATCTGTGACATCAGGATTAATCACATTGCCATTTGCTCATGAGATAGCAGCATACAAATATAACCTCGTCATAAGCAATTCAACAGACCTGATTGTGATCATTCAGAGATGTGATGAAGCCAAATACTTTTATTTTTGCTCTACTTTAGTACTTGAGTACAATCTTCACCAGCAACTGACCAGTGTGATGAAGTATGGCTAAACAATCCCCACGACCTGCAGTACATGGGGAGGCCCTCATCCAGCAGTAGTTTGACTCAAGTGTTCTACTTGTAGTCAACAAAATTACCAATCTATCCCAGTACACAAACGACATAACGCTGAATGAACACATTGATTTGAAGGAAAAGATTTGTTGGAGGGTATTCATTTTACCGAAGTCCGTTCCCGTGCCCCTCTTTGCCCCGTCTCTCTGCAAAACCCCGCTGCCCGTGACATGGAGGATACACCCGCGTGTTATATTTCTGCGCGTTGCTCACCTGATCGGTGCACCAGTACCAAGTCGCGATGATGGTCAGGCCAAATAGGAGGCCGGGCCATGGCAGATCGCCCGTGATGGGGTCCCTCAGTAGGTTCAGAGAGTCTGGACGAGGTGTGTAGCACTCCTCGCTGATGTTCATCTCCGGCGGTGGCGGCGTCGGGATGGCCAGCATGTATTTTTCGTACATGGCATCGTAGCCCCCCACAGCGTTGAACGCTGTACGGAAAAGGGGCACGTGAAGAGAAATGCACGAGGTTAACGTCTCACCGTTTTGCAAAACAAAAGACTCCCTCCAAAAATATACAGCCCGTGCTCAATTGTTTATTGTCTTTGCCTATGTGTCAACGTATTGGTATGTTTAACGTCAGTAATTCAGCAAAGTGAGATGTCCATGTGCAGTGACTGGTAAGCGTATATATGATATTACATATTGGCAGTAGGCAGTTGAGACGATTCAGGATATGTCAAAGTTTGGGATGGGTTTTTTTATCGTCCTTATGCAGAAACTTTCTCTTTTAAGAAACACATGAGTAGGTTGGCCTGGGGCTTCAACTCATAAATGTAAGACGTGGAGGTACACATGAGCTCTTTAGACTACAGTATTGTACTACTGTACAGTGTTACTCAACTGCTCAGGCTTTATCACTTATGGCTGCCGTGATGTCATGGTTAGCACACTGATCTTGCTATCCAGAGGTCACCGGTTCGATGTCACAACTTGGCCATCGAAACGATAGGCACAAGTCTTATATTCCCCCGCTACTGTCTACCCAGCAGTATGAATGGGTAACGCCACAGTTAGTTGATCGGCACGGTAAAGTGTAGGTTCTCCCACCTCTTCCAAGATGTCTGGCCAATGTGGAAAAGTAGACCAAAAGGCCCTCCAGAGGTTTCCCTCTAGAGCTCCCATCCAGTGGAGACCCCTTTTTGGCCAGCAGAGGTATGAGCAAGAAATTGCAGGGCTGCACCTTTACCTCATTACTTGTTGGTAAAGTGGTTTCCAAAACCATAGGGGTTGGGTGTCTTTTGACCTTTACCTGTGTTCACATATCCCCAACTTTATGCAGGACAAGAGAGAGAACCGTGCCTCAATGCTCTGGCAAGCCTGCAATGGGGTGGTGTTCATTTCTGTTTGCGAGACAACGGTGGAACTCACAGCATTCCAGTCGTGTATTATTTACACATTACAAAAAAGTTCCAAACCGATTATTATTTGCAAGTACGATTGTGATCTCAATCCAAAGGTCACGATTCAAGTTTATGAGCAGAATTTTTTTCTCTCAACTATGTTTTCTTGTCCGTATTGTGTCTCATTCATTTTGGCGATCAATCACCGACATGGAATTTTTATATATATAACCTGCGTCAACAAACCCCGATAGGGATTGTCGCAATTAGCATCATGTTGGTGATATTAGCAGGAGTCAGCGTGTGCGGCCGATATGGGACGTTTGGGGTTGTCCCCTGACAGACCGAGCTCACCGAAGACCATGAGGATTAAGGAGCCCACCAACATGATGACAGTCTGCACGGTGTCGGTGTAAATCACCGCAGTGAGGCCACCTGGTGGTGAAAGTTGGACAGGTTAAAGACAAAATTACAAATTTATCACCATTTGAAGAGGATTGTACAAACCTATCGTGAGGACTTTTCAAAGTTTCTTCCGTAAACTCCTTAATTAAGTACGTATTATTCCTACAATTACGTTTCTATGGGCGGTGGGGGAGATAGAAGTGGTTATAGCCTGCTGCACCGTGAAGCCACATCACCGAGTTTGATTCCTGATCACGGCTGGCTTTCGTGGAGAGAGATATCTGAACAATCTTCACCAACCTGCACTGACCAGCGTGGTGAAGTATGGTCAAACCCCCCCACCCCTCTGGGGATACCTTCATCCGGCAGTGGTAATAGAGCTGTACATAAATGTTGTATTGATTCAAAATACAGTTTTCTAGGGTTAGATCACGTAAATATGTGTCGTTAAATCCGCTACCACCCGACACAGCCAATTAGTAATGTTTGTCACGTAAGCAGAACATGCGAAGTCGTCACTAGTACAGCACACCGGTGTGTTGGAGAGAGCAAATCCGCAACATTGACAATCTGAGTACGACGTTTCGCCAGTACTTACAACTAGCCTCATCAGGTGACAGCCAGATTTGTGGAGAAATCCTCCCGTTTCTTAGCGTTCTTCATAATAATACAGTTCAAAAAGCTTGTTTCACTGATCCAAAATGTATTTTTTTCTAATTATTCGTAATCATTTCAAATGATTTGGAATAGTTTAGGCATCAATTGCATCCATCTCTTTCCAAGCAGGTGCAGGTATAAACAAACTGAGACTGTTAAAATTGATTCATGAAAACCTTTCCATTGCCAGGAATTGATATCCGTATTTACATAAACCTCTAAAAAAAGTTACGGCTGCAGCATATTGTTACCTTTAACGTTGTATGGAATTAAAATAACATCGTCATATCAGTACACGGGTTATGCCCTTGCTTTTTTCTCTGCGTGATATTTTAATGATCTGGTCTTTATTTTTTTTTGGTAATTGCACACGATAACAAAAACATTATCCGCACACTAAACGGCTCATTAACAAACGTCACGTTCAATTTTACCGTGCAATGCGTACACGACATTGGGTTCCTTTAAATTGGCAAGGCGTAAAATTACAGTGAAATTACTGCCACATTATTCGTTCCATGCCCCACGGGAGGCGGGGGGACAATGTCACGGACGCCCTGTGCTCACCAGTCACAGTGTAGAGGCCGGTAATTATAAGGAGGCAGATGACAGCCAAGTAGATATTCAAGCCGATCGCTTGACGGATGAATATTCCTCCGGAAAACATGTCAGCCTGTAACAAAACATGTCAGCGGTAGGCTTTAGCGGTCAGAGTGCACGATCACTGTTTTCACGGTTAACGTCGTTCCTACAACTTCACTCACTCATTCCATCATCCACGCACGTTGGTGACTCGACTGACTGTTTCGTCACGCTAATGGGTGTTTAACCCACCACACCACGTGTGTTAACGCTTATCTGCAGCAGTATGGCTTCAATGGTTCTGTTTGTTACTGGCCGTTTTGGGATTTTGAGGCTTCAGGCCTGTGCTCAGCAATTTTGATTTAAAAAAATAATTGATGGTCGAAGCGGCTTTTCACACTTTGCCCACCTCCCGTCTCCCTACCAGAGGAGGATGTGATCTTGCTCAGCTCCATAACTTCAGAATTGATCGGTTGATTGAATTTTTTTTGCTCTGAATAGTAAAACAAGTAAATAAATACATTTGTTTTTAATAAGATGGCTTCTTCCCCCTTTTATTCTTCTGTAAAACATTTCCATTGCTCCGTGAAACAGTCATGGAAAAGGTGACGTTCGTAATTGCATAAGTTGCAATGGCCAAGGTGCAAACCTCCTGAGATAATGATTTACTTTGAACTACTAATGGCTACACTGCGCTAATTCTCAAACATGCGTAATGCATGCACTTGCAGTTAGTTTTTTTGGATATCCTTTTACATTCCGATTAAAACGTAACTTTTACGATAATAGGTCATTATGTTTCCCAAACTACTAATTATACGAAGCACACATTTAATGGCGTTATAATGCTTAGCGGACTCGACTTGCAATCCACATCTCACAGATTCAATCGCCAGGCAAAGTTTTCAATAAATATAATAATTAACCTGATATGAATTTTTTTTACAAATTTTATCTACGATCAGACACTAACAACTACTAAAAAATTTTGATTTTTCCGCAATAAAAAATGTTGACGACTTGATTCAACTACTTGCATTTAATGACGTACCCATTGGAAACCGCTCAATTTAAAGATTCCATTATATATTTTTTTATGAGAAAGAACAACAACGTATGAACTTAATACTCTTTGAGGGGAAGCTCCTATATTTTACCGTTTTCGAATTATTCAGATTTGAACATCATAAATTGCGTATTTTTTCGTTCAAAACTGCTTTAGTCCGAATATCTCAAAAACAATCATAGATAGCACAATGGTACTCGCTTTAATTGTGTTTGCTGTTTAACGCTCTATCAAATGAAAAAAAGCAATCTTATATTTTGAACGGTTTATGAATGAAAAATCTAGTTTTAAAAAAATATTTTCCTGTTGTTTTTCACCTAAAAGCTACATGTGTACCAAATTTGAGCTGTCTACCTTGTCATCTTCGAGAGCGTCTATGGGACAAACCAGGCATCACCTTCTGGACAAAGTGTAGTGTTTACAGAGAAGTCCTCGTTAGTGCTCTGCTTTATGGCTCTGAAACTTGGACCCCTTTACCATCACCCTTGCATCAACGCAACAATCTCCAGCAAAGACATCTGAGAAGTCCGATGGGGATCAACTGGCAAGATAGAGTAGCTAATACTAAAGTCCACTCCAGAGTAGGAATGACTGCAGCTTCGCTGGCCTGGACACAATCGTCATAATAGGTGAAAACATTGCTCTTTGCTCAATTTCATGAAGGTTCGAGAAGTAGAGGAGGTTAGCCCTTGTGCTATAAGAATGTACATCACTCAAAATTGAGAAGATGTGGAATTCCTGTGGGTTAATGGGAAAGGCTTACTCAAAACAGATGGCAATGGCATGCAGGCTTGTTCTCACACTACTCAGTTGCTTGAGAGATGGTGTCTTGAAGACACGAAGAAACAACAAGCTAGGCGACGAGGTGTCAGAAATGGTGGTTGTCGAGTGGTGAAGCTGGATCTCAGGAGTTTATCCATAGCCCACTGTGCGTGTGATCTCTGTGGAAGGGTGGCTTGTCGTTGAGATGCTGGTCTTGCTTTTCACAAGTGAACTCACAGAAACCAAACATAGCAACCGTATGAGATGCCAAAGAATGATCGACTCCTGATGCAAGATAGGTCATCGTCCTTGAGTATGGACTGCAACATGATGATGATGATGATAATTCATGTTGCTCTCAATGAACAATGCAAGTCTGCTTTATGTATACGTGCGACGATGATGCCACCAAAAACAATCCTTTCCTTGGAATATAAAATGATGGCTTACCGAGATTTTGGTGAGTACATAGAGAATGAGGGACAGGCCAGACAAGTAGTATTGTATCCTGTTTCCCCCAAAGCGCTTCTTTAAGTATTCTGGCATTGTGACGACCTGTCAGAAGATAAGACAACAAACAAGCAGGTGATGTTATAGCAAAGACGTGCAGAGCGTTGGTGCACAGTGAGTTGGTTCTCCTTATTTACACTGGCACATTTCAGAAGCAAAACTGATTTTCAGTTGGGAAATGAATAGGTTATTTAATTTAAAAAGTGATTGCATACTCTGCGAGTGGCTACCTGAACCTGCAGATAATGGAGGAAAGTAAAAGTTGAATGATGCATCTGGAATTATCTGGTAATGTACATACACTTCGTATATACATTGAGATACACATGAATGTAATTGCAAGATATATTTGCCTAATTCATCCACAGTAGTTTTCCTTAACATAATGAAGTAAATCTGCAGATGATAGCATAATTAATACACTGAGCAGATAAATGAGGCGTAGATGCAAGTACACGAAGTTATACTAATACTGGAAATCTCACGAATGACGTAGTAATCAAACCACTTGACATGTCAATATTTCAGAAGGTGCAGGTGTTGCGTAAACTTTTATGGATGGTGACGTGTGTACAATCTGTGCAGGTTTGATTTCCCCCTTTGCGGTATTTGCGGATGTAATCTGCATTGTTCAGATTAAAATCACAGAGTTAATATTTCCTCTTCACTTGATCAGAATCCTTGGAAGCTGCACGTCGTCGTCGGCTCTTACCCCCGCCGTGATGTAGATTGGCACAAACAGCCATCCCAGCAGCACCACAATAAACAGAGCCTGCAACAAAAGAAAATTTCATTTTTATTTTCCTGAACAGGATGTTTTTTTTTACAACACGAATCACTGTATAAGAATGGTATATTCATAACAAGCATTTTAGACTCCCTCCAAAAAAGTGGAAGTTACCACCAGAGTACGTGCGTAAGGAAACGCGTCCCATTGTCAAATAAAAATGTTAATCTTCTGGTTCAACTGCTGGATTACTCGTATGTTATTGCATATGTACAGCGCCTATGTCAATCCACTGTGTGATGAGGGCCTCCCCTCACCGTGTGAGCCATGGGGGTTAATTCTAGATTTGAAGTTTTCGTGACTTGCAATGATCCATACTCATTGGTTCTTTCGGTGAAGTCACGTAGGTAAAAATAAAATCAAGTTCATCAAATCACGACGTTTTCGGAAGCAACAGAAGCCTCCGTCATCAGGTGGGATAGTCACAGCAAGAAAATTCCTTCTTGCTGTGACTATCCCACCTGATGGCGGAGGCTTGTGTTTGCTTCCGAAACGTCGTGATTTGATTAACTTTCGATTTAAAGCCTTTCGTGACTGCAAGGATTCATCTTCTTGGTTCTTTCGGTAAAGCCATCGTAGAATGAGAACGTCGTGAGAATTTTATTGTTTAAATTTTATTTCATTATTTTATTCTCATTCTACGTGACTTTACCGAAAGAACCAAGAAGGTTGATTAACTTTATTTATTTTTTATCATGGGGGTTATTTTACCATGCTTCATTGCACTGGTCAGTGTGGGTTGGTAAAGGCAGGAGCATATACGGTGGATCTTAGTACGGCATACAATGATTATAAGTGGTAGTAATATAAGTAATATAGATGATGTTGAGTGTAAAAAACATCAGTTAAAACACAAATGTTAATTTACAGCCCCTTTTCAATCCCTATTGGTTGAAGATGTGTACGTGCTGTGCTGGTCATATAGAGTACAGCAATTGATTGAACTGTGATAGTATAATATATATTTTCAAATTAATTTGGCAATTCTGTTATCAGGGTCATATGATGAAGATATTTCCCTTTATCAGTGTGCTACTTTGTGCAGAGAATAGCTCCATAAGATGGCATCAGCGAACTTTTTCTGAATTCACTTAAATGGGCCCTTAAAGTGTTAATCATATACCAGTCAAATCAAATGAATTAAAGAATAACTAAACTCATGAATAATGTAATTTAAGTGAATATTTTACATTTCTACCATGGAATTTTTTTGCATTGCCAATTGGTAGCAGAGAAAGCAATTGCAGGGACTGCGACTTTAGGGGGGTTTTTACCTTTTATTCCAACTAAACAAAGCCAAGGACGTTAATGTTACACACAAAACTCGTTTATTCCATGAGGGCATTTCCAATTAAGCCAATGTGTAAAAGTGGCATCTCCCGGTGACGTGTGTCATCTCGACAAAGAATTGCAGTGTTCCATCGGGGTGCCAGCCGTACATTCCACTCGAAGCCCCCTTGAGCAATCCCGGCCGCGGCTCCTGACCCAGCCAGGCCCACGAAGTGTCCGCTGCCAATATTGCTGGCAAACAGGGAGGCACCGATCTGCAAAACATGCACGTGTCAGCTCTCGGCACCGACCACTGCTCCCACAGTAGCTCTGAAGGTTGCCTTGTGTGACACTTTACAGTTAATAAATAAAGGTCTCAATGCAGCTAATGTGTAAAAAAAAAAGGTCAGGGCTGATGTAGTTAAGAGACAAGCCTGGTTAAACACTTCCTCGAACCGCAGTGAGGCAGCTGCTATGTATGTGTTAATGTACTACCAGGCTACCCTTGCTCCATTTGCCGCTTCTGTGCTACATGTGAATAAATCAATCCATTGAAAAGAGGGGGCCGGTGGGGGAGAAGCCAGTGCTTTCTTGACAGTGTAAAGTTTAAAACTCGATTCTGAGAAGCACAAATGCTTCAAACATTAATGTTTTTTTAGTTCAATGCACTGTACCTGTGCAGCCCATAGCTTAAATCCTCTGCTGGATTAAGACCTATTGACCCCGTGCGGGTCATGGGGGTTATTTGACCATACTTCCCCATGGTGATCAGTGTGCGTTAGGAGCATTAGATACAGAAGAATGCAAGTATAGTACAATAAAACAACTCATTTTGCAGCACTATGGCAACCTAATTAAGCGTTGTGGTCATCCAAACAATCACTATACAGCCTCAATCCTACTCAGCTTCTAATATTTGGACAAATTTGGGCGTATTATGGGCCATTATATTTATTACGAGTTGAAAATGCAATTGGCATGACATACCATTAAAGATTAAGACAAATTACACCATTAGTTTTTTTCCCCTTTTTTTAAAGTAAGGTTTCAAAGTATTAATGCATTAAATCTGTCCGTCTGCCTGTAATAGGGGACACGATAACTCTCTTACAGATTATCCAATATATATTTTTGTGAAATCTGTCAGAAACATTTGAAAGTGAAGGGCACTTACAGGCCACCACACCATGCTGCGACCAGCGAGGAAAAATCCTCCCACAGTGCTCCGGTTACTTTTGTACATGGCCTGTGAACACGACACAATTTTACATAAAAGCAATTGATTATCATCATCACCATCATCATCATTATGTTTCTGATCGTATAATGTCTTAACAGAAGTCTCTGACTGGATAATTTGGGATTTTTAATAGCTGAAAGATACAGTAATAAATTAATGTCAAATATGAATGCCGTTGATTTGAAGCTTTCGTGACTGCAGCAATCCATACTACGTGACTTTACCGAAAGAACCAAAGAGTATGAATGACGTTACATTAACATGTGACTATTGGTGTATTTTAAAACAAAATCATTCTGGGTCCATTTCATTTCCACATGTCTCAAAGACTCACCCTGACATCTAATTTAGGCACTGACAGGCTATAATAGAAGCATAAATTACAAAGACTCTACACAGTCGTCAATACCACTGTCGTATCATTACGAAGTAACAAGCGTATATTCCATCGGTAGTCATATTCTTGGTTCTTTCGGTAAAGTCACGTAGAAGGGAAATCATAAAAGAATAAAATCTAAAACAATAAAATTCTCACGACGTTTCGACTGCAACACAAGCAATCATCATCAGGTGTGAAAAACCACAGCAAGAAAATTTGAAAAAAAAATAAAAAAATATTGCTGTGGTTTTTCACACCTGATGATGATTGCTTGTGTTGCAATCGAAACGTCGTGAGAATTTAATTGTTTTATTTTTTCCCTTCTACGTGACTTTACCGAAAGAACCAAGAATATGAATCCCTGCAGTCACGAAAGCTTTAAATCGAAATCCATCGGTATTGCTTAAGCTTCTTCCAAGTCAACGTAGGAACTATGAAATGCAAAACTTTTACTTAAAAGCATAAAATATTCAGCAAAAGTTCACACTTTTACAATGCACTCTATTTTCAACGGCTACTCGAAAGTTGTATAAACCCTCTTAAGGCACAGCAAACACATGATAGATAGGGAGTCAGCAACACAAGTATACCTGTACATATATTTTTAGAGCATTGCACGGTACCCGTAACATTTAAATGCTAATGTGCATTTTAATGTCCATGTAAATCAATGGTCACAACTATGAGTTTAGTCTTATTGTCATATAAAGATGTAGTCAATAGGTGTGTTCTTTCTTTGTATGTATGTATGTTTTTTCCACACACACACACAGACAAATACTCAGAGAGGTTGGCTCACATCTTAAGCAAACCTTTAGAAAAACCTTGAAACGTCAGTGAGTGTACATGGGTAATGGTTTGAAATTATTATGTTAATATTAGTAATTGATTTAAATCTGTACGGTAATGAACATGCAATTATAATTTGGAATTATATAGCGTCTAATGGCAACTTCGTCCCAAGAATTAAAGGGTTAAAAGTGGCAATATAAATGATGAAATTAACTTTTGTGATAAGTATTGTTTCGTCTGCTATTCATTCTCAACCCGTCAATTCTCATGGCACTTGCAAATACATAATTAAAAGCATATATTTTAAAACAAATCAGTATATATGTTCAATGCATACTGACTCTAAGCAGTGTTGTTAATGTCTATGTTGTATGTAAATAATGTAATGATTCTAATTTACATTATATTGTCAATCCACTTCTGGATGAAGGTCTCCCCACACCCTATCATGGGGAACGTTTGACCATACTTCACCACACTGGTCAGTGCGGGTAGGTGAATGGTGGGGGGGGCTCACCACTCATCACTCATGTTAGCCATTGCCAGGAGTCAAACTCAGGTTGCTGGTTGATAGCCCAGTGCACTAATCAATGTGTCACCACTCCATTGTTTTTTTCTTGTGCTAAGAAAAATTCTGAAGATATTCAGTGAACTTTAGAGTTCAAATGCAGTCGAAAGACATTGCTGCCCGTAAAATTACATGCAAGAACGATAGCTGTTTTTTTCTCCTTCTAAAGTGTAACATTTAAACGATTGCCTTTCTTCTGCTATCCATCGGGGATTGTTCTGTCAACGTTTATTATGAGTTACATAAACTATAAAGAAACTTTATAACAAATGAAATGTATCAAACGCCCCAAGATCTATTCTTTTAAGTATTTTTGTTGCGTTATGCTTTTTCTATGTTTACACATTGTAGTCAGTTTATAGTAATGCCATTGAATGTTTGAGTAACAATGTAAAATATCCTCGTTGTCAATGGTCCTGCTGTGTTATACTTAAAAAAAAAACGAAAAAACTTTGCAACGACCTAGAATTTCTTCTGGGCAAATCAAAGGTTCCATTTGTTTTCATGGCCGACAGAGCCGGGTGTAAGGGGAAGACGTGGCGGAGGTGGCAGGACAGTGCTGAAGGTTGTGGAAGATTTCTTTTTTGCACCTCCTGTCGAGTAGTCTCGCCGGCCGGCGTCTTCGTGTTCTGAAGAAGCAAGGCAGTGACGGAATTTTACGATGCTCTTTTTTGACCGGTGGTACTTGACTGAGACAGCAGAGCTCCAAGGTGGTTGGAGGAGTGCCCATGCATTGGGGCTGGAATTAGCAACATCTCGTGACCCCACCGTTCCACTCCATCCTTTGAGGTGTTCAGAGTTTTAGCGACTCTTTCAACGGGTTGCCTCTCCTGTTGTACTTCCTATGGGGTCTCCTCTGACCAGCTTGGAGTATGCGTATGGCTCACGGTGGTCACACGGGGGATGTATTTCGTGGCTGCTGCTATGAGGATATGGGTTTATTGCTCAAAGGTTTCTGGTCTAGGCTCAAAGCGCTGTATCCGTTCTTCATGTTTAAGTAAGCAGCCCAGTTTGCTTTGCAGAAATTCCAGCTTGGCTTCTGTGCAGACACTATAAGTGGCACTTCGATGCCTATTTGCACAACGGCTGGGCAATATTGACTTTGGGGGAAAGGTCCAAGCGTGATTCGTGAAGCTGATAGGATGCTTCTTCTGTTATCTTTTGAGAGGAAGCAGAGTTCCAGATTGTGGTCTGTGTTCCACATTGTGGAGGAGAAAGTATCGGATTTTTTGGGGTCGAAGAGCAGATGGACATCGTCAATCGAGGCCCAGTCTGCCAGCTGCTTGCCTGCTGCATTATTTGTGTGGCATCCCCAATCTGCATTGTCACCGTTATACTGCCGGATGAGGGAGGGATGGGAACGTGGAATTAACCATTCGGTGTTCGGTGGCTTATGGACATGAGCCAGGGATATTCGGCCTACTCTTACTATGGTGTGCTAGGTTCCTGTGGCCTTCTTTATCTCAATGACCGGCATCTGGTGTATGTGGTAATACAGCCCTTCGCTGCGTCGACAAGAGGCGGTGAGTTTGTAGCCATGGATCCGGTACCTTGCAGCATTCTCTTCGATTCCGGCACGAGTCTCTTGCAGAGCGATGACATCTATGTTGTTGTCGTTGAGTATCTTGGAGAGGTAGTCACACATATATGTTTGATAATTTCTCTGCATTCAGCTGGTGGATGCGGAGGACCGACCACAAACTTCTTTGACCTTGGCCCTGACGAGGACCATTTTTTGACGTTGCTAGTTATAGGAGGTGATCGATGTTGTGACGTCTGGTGACCTCTTGACGACGTTCGTTGTGTTGATGAGCAGCACGTAACGTGTAGGCACAGAAACACTTGACAGGAACAAGTGGCATGGAGGCTGTAGTTTTGTGCCGAAATCAAGGTGATATCAGTTTTCCAATGCAATAAAGTTACACTTCACACACCTGGGTACAGATTTTGTTTAGTAAATAAACTGAAGTTTTTAAAATGTTCAACCATAGCAGAAGGATAAATATTCACCCATGAAAAAGTGTTTATCGGCACTCAGATAAAACACAGTCAATACCCTAAGCAGCCCATTCAGATTTGTGGAATGTATGCTAAATTGACAGTAAATGACTGGACCTAATTTGGACTGTTCATTTCTCATGTTGGAAGGAATGCCATGGTATCAATGCTAATGGTGCATGATTGAATATACTGAAATACGTGTATAGATGAATTCCAGACATTTTAAATCCACCAATGGATAAACACCTCCCCATGCCATATCGCTCATGGGTTTTTACTTCACTCTGCAGGTTGGTGATGGGGACAGAGGGCAGAACCGGTTCTGATATCACTCACCACTGATGTTAGCCGCGACTTAGACTAGACCTCGGCTTGCCAGGTTTATATAATAATAAAACAATGTATCCAGCGTAATTCCTGCAATTGAATCCCACAACGCTGCACACCAATTGTCTAGTTTCGTACACAGATAATACAAAAAACAAAACCCACTACTTAGCAGATAAAAAAAAACATGAATACATGAATAAATATAAATAAAATAATCACGGAGAAAATAAATTAAAATAAATAAATCCGTTCGGTCTCCATACCCCAGACCACAATCCCAACATTTCACCGGATTTTGGAGAACCTTCACTGAAGGAGTGGTGGAGTGGCCAAAAAGTTACAAGTCAGTTGGGCAATAATGTAAATGAATCTTTTCCAGCATATGCCTGGACAAATAAATAAGCCAGCATGCCAACAAATGTACCATCACTCCATCCTCAATTGATTTATAAATATTCAATGACATTCCCCCTGAAAACAAACTGTAAACACATTTTGTATCTGTGCTAAAATGCTAGGGGGAAAAAAAAACCTCGAGTCAACACCCCAAAGTAAGCTTATGTTCAAGAAGCCCAACTTGAGAACTTTCAAGTGCTCTTCCCACAAGCGTGACAATAAAACACAGGCTTCAGAAATAGAGCTCCATGGATTCAAGGTGTTTGAGAAATCTCTATTTTTATTAATACGCAATCATTTACCGTCTTGCACTAGATAAGTGCTTTTTTAAATAATATTTTTGTGCCAAGTTTATAACATTTGCACTGCCCAAGTAGGTCAAATTTTTTTCTTCCATTGACTGCTATGCAACACAACAAGGATTCATTCTGTTAACGCAACGAGTGACGACAATTCCCGCCAACAAAGTAGTTCATTTTAACCCAACTATGACCGTGAAAATGTTATCAATCATGACAACTACCGACGGAATGCCTCTGT